ACTATATAACTAACATTTTAAATAGATTCAACTAATTCAATATAGCATAACATCACACCTTTGATTCCCTAAGGGGTAAGTGTACATTACAGCACTTAATTCCATTGTACAATGTAATACCCACGTTTCACTATTTATATTGTGAGTTCCATTTACTAAAGGATCAGTCTATTGCCATATACTGGGCACAATTCCAGCCAATCCCAAAACTAATTCAACTGTCTTAAAAAATCATTGCAAGCATTCTCCTAACACCTACATTTGCAATTGAACATAGTAATGTCACAAAACTGCACAGTTGGTATGTGTTGCAAGCTTGCAACAACTTTCATAGCAAAACTTATTAGTTATTACGTAATTACAGTTAGCAGCTAAGCAATTATTTACTGTTAACATCGGTGATTGATTATCGTCGATGGATCGTAACTGAGCGGGTGACGTCACCCGTTTATTAGAAACAAACCCTATGCAGAGCGTTTTCCTTCTTAAACTGCAGAAACAGGCATTAGCTTAAGCATATTTTCTTTAAAAAAACACGATTAACTGGGCGTAAATTAGCAAAAATTATGATCATAATTATGCGTAAAATATTGTCTTAAGTAGCACTTAAACGTAATCTTAAGGAAAACCACAATGATTTCACAACAGTTACTAATAAAGGTCTTTGCGAACTAGCATTTCACGTTAAACACAACACGCCCACATAGACTGTTCAAATACTTTAACCCTAAACAAATATTTATCCTATGACCCGGAACCAGGCGGTTCATATTTGAACATAAATTCTCGCTCAACCAAACCTCTAAAATCTTAACATTGCAAGTGCATTATGGATCTGTCACGACCACTCACTAACCAGTTAGTAGAAAACGTTTCACAAAATATCTATATTTTTAGATTTTGAGGTCTCTCAGTTAGGAACTAGCGGCACGGCGCGGCATAGTGGGCAATGAAACTGTTATCAAAAAGATGGCTCGCTCAAAAATTACAAAAGGTGATTTATTTTTGTAACTAGATTTACTTTTTAAAACAGATCCAAATCACCAAAATTCGCAGTCATCCACTGTAAATGACTGAATCTGTATGATTGACAAGCAAGAAGTAGAAGACATTGAATTCTAGGGCACGTCTGTCAGCAAAAATGTCAAAAGAGAATTCGAGGTAAGCTTGACAAAAGCCGCCTGACTCCTCCGACAATCGGCAGCCACTCGTCAATCAGTAGTGGACCAAAGGACGTAACCCAATAGTCCACATTGTGGAACAAGTATAACCTGATCTCTAGCAGGTACTCCCCGGTCATTAAGGGTAAGTGCTCGCGAGCGGAAATGTGCGAGAGCCTTGTAAAAACCTCAGAGACACATCCGATGCTGTTAATGGTAAGACACGATGAAAGCCAGATAATTTTGATTGTTGTGAACATGTTGAGTGACAAGTGAATTGTTTTGAAAAGTCATTTAATACTAAACCCTAGCAGTTAAGTCATTTCAACGTTTTGTATGGTTCTTTAGAAGTTAAGAAAACATTAAGTTTTCTGCTGCAAAAAGTGCTACTAAATGTAGAAGCCCGTTTTTTATTTCAGTAGTCCAGTTATTAATACACCACCTTCAAGGAACTTGCAATAATTTCATAATGTCAATTTGTTCTGAGTATTGCTCAAATCCGGTGGATACTTCGCCTTACGGCCGGTGTACCGTTCATCCGGACCGGTCTGGACGGTACGGGCCGGTCTGTGATGGATCACCGCCGTGACGTCGAACCACCGTTCGAATGTCACACGTATAAAATCTGGGTGAGACGTAATTCTCCAGAATCAAAAGTTTCGTATTTGTACGAATTCTTTGCCATGGTTTTGCCCACTTTCTCGACAATTACTGTTTTTGTAGAATGTTTCCTGAGGCAAATAATTATGTAGAGGTAGGTACCATTATGGAACACATAGATTTAAAGATGTTCATAAGCACGTATGGGATAGTCTTCAAATTATAAATACAATAGTAAATCCACAATGCAACATTACTAAGATATTTTTTTTTGTAAAATCAATGTCAATTGACTAACAACCGAATCGGAAAGAGGACAAGAGAAATCTGAAGATGAAAATGCAGACGACACGATGATTCGCCATTCTGTCTGTTTAGTCAGTTCCCACGTCTCTATACCGTTTGACATTGCGCATGCTTCGTACTTGAAGATTAGCGGTAATATCAATATTATATTTTGATCTTACTTGAACATGGATTACAATTGGGGATTCAAACACATGACAATAAAAATCTGGTAGCATATAATAACTTAAGAATTGACCGTGCAAAAATACACAAAACATATTTTTTCTATGTGTTTGTAATAAAGTATAAATAAATATAATTCACAAACTCCTGAATTTATGTACAAAAATTCCTCAGCCCAGTAGAAGAAGACTATCAGGGGTTGTTAATGATGTCACCAAATTAATCACACCTATCAAAATTCCTAAAAATTAGAAATACTTATACTTTCATCGCTCTCTTGGCCAAGTTCCGCCACAGGCCACAACATCGCTTTTCAACAGCACATGGTTTATGCTCACAATAAGACAATAAATATCCCGAACAAGCTCTTTGAAAGCTCTCTACAATACACATTGTTGTCGTCCAGCCAAACGGGTTCTGATATCTATGACATATGAATATGCATGGCTACTAATCTAAGATTTGCGATTTGTTTAGCTCTTCAATATTCAGTTATGATAATGTGCATACCTGACATACATACATAATATTAGATTAATATCGCTAATCATTGGGTGATTTAAAATGTCTGCCCAAATGCGGTAGACTCAAAAAGTTATGAATGGGTTTTTATACTACATATTTTTTTAGTCTAGACGTCTGTAATCCTGATCTGAAAATCTTGGTGGAACAAATTTTTGTGTTTTCTATTTTCAAATTCTCAATGAAAAGGTAAACATTATTGTCCAGTTCCTTCAATTTTATTTGTGGCCGGATACCTTTCATAAAATTAATTTGCTGTTCATTCGTTTATCTGAACCAACAGCCTTTATTTTAAGGTTAATTTTATCTATTTGTTGCAGTTAGGAACGATCTGTTTTTCATTCAGATATATCTATGTTGTGTAAACTAAATTCTTTGAAAGTAGTATACCTGTTAATGAATCATACCTTCAAAATTAACAGCATTCATGCTACAAACTTCTAACTAACTATCCCAAGTCCAAACCGGACTTTGATCCTACGAGCAAAACGAGTTCAAATCAAATTGAAAGTAAGTCGATTATATCACGAAGCTCGCCACTTATACACTAATTTTAGTAATGCTATGCCAAGTACCGTAAGCACATCACTAACTATCAAGTATGGAGCAGAAGCAGATGGAACATTTCTAATAAGATTGCGTAATAATCGATACAGCTTATTATGCGAACAATCGATTTTTGTTAGAAGAAAACGGATGTTAGTTGGTAGTAAGGCCGCAGGCGTATATGATAGATGCTTGAGGCCAGAGGGAGTGTCAGACTCTTACTAACTAAAAACCACCTCTTGCAGCAGAAGCAGGAGTAGCTGCTTCGAACTGGAACCTGTTAAGTTGTCCGCAGCTCCGGGATTTGATAGACACTTGCGAGTTTCTTCAAAAAAAAATTCTAAAACGTTAAGATGTATAGGCAACGAGATAGACTTTATTTTCGGTGACATGTAAAGCCTTTTTTTACTTTTATGCTAAGTAAACAAATTATGCTAAGTTAAAGTAAAGCCAAAACGGTGATTTTTAAATACAAATTATTTGGAACAAGAAATAATAAGAGCCTAACATGATACTGTTACCGACAATGAGATGTCATTTTTTATATTGTCTCAGCGGTCATTAGTTCACTCATATTTCTGTAATTTGTCACGAGAGAAGCCATTTTAGTCACGTTGACCTTTTTTATAGTAACTAAACGTTTTTTCACGTTCGTTGAACTTGGAATTTATTATCTTGGTTACGTATATTCATCATCATTAATAAGAGTCCCATAGGATATTAGTTTAAAAAAATTACTTAATTCATGATATGATAAGCTAAATACGAAAAAATTAATAAAGTTATGAAAGTAAATAAGTATTTGTTAATAAATGTCCATTTATTGTATTTTATTTTAATTAAAGATTCTGGGAAACAAGGAAGTATACAAAAGTTGTGTAAGTTTACAAAATTCTCCTAATAATTAAAACTAAGCGACAAGTATGTTCGCCTTCGAGCACCGTATACAATTCAAACCTCTCACTAGCCACAATTTAATCGATTGGTATCGATTTAAAGTTCAACAATTTCGACGCACTGAAGAATCGAGTAACCGGTGTCCGATATATCAGACCATCTCTCTCAGGACTGGACCGTTACATAAAGTGCTCACGACTCGATACTGAATGGAATCGATTTCAATACTCGTTTTGTTCTATTCATGTTTGATTACTTCGAGAGCAAGAGCTGAAGTGTGTAGTTTACAAATTCAAAGTATAGATTACTATCTTATTGATTCAATTGTTTCAAATTAAATTTAAAATTGTAAGTCGAAAACAAACCAATCACGCGAATTATTAACTGTTGCAATCATAAAAATGTTAAACTATTAATTAAATTCAATAAAATAATTAAACTCTCGTGAACCAGACGGATGGCTACATTTAAAAAGCGAAGTAATTGCCGAGCAGTAAGACTACAACAAGTTTATAATTGCCGGTAATAAATACTAACCTACAAACAGCTGATCGAATACTCCACTTTTTACCTACAGGTGTGTGCGAACCGGTTACGTAACTAGACTCGTAATTTGACAGCTGACATACATGACACTTATGTCAATCGAGAGAGTAATTATCTGTGGATTTTTTAGCGCCATCTATCAAAGTTCGTGATTATTTGCTACTGTCAATCATCTAAGATGTTAAATTTTTAATTGAAATGTCAAAATTTAAAAAACTAACTGAAAATCTTCTTAAGAGAGTATTATTATTATGTTACCTGGTCAACTCGCAGTTTCCTGCCCAGCTCATTTGCTCCGCAGTCCATTCTCTGCGTCTGTAAGAAAAGAGAAAAAAATATTAAATATAAAACAAATACACATACTAAGCGGAAGATTTATTTATTTAAATTCTAGACTGAAAAAACTGAATTCTTAACGTTTTTCTTGCCAATGTACTCGTAAAATATGTGCGTAAAGTATTATACAATGCTGATAATATTTATAGTAACACTAAATCAAAATAAGAACTCAAGTGTGCAATGCAAAGATAGCAGGAAAGCGATCGCCCTGCCTGCATCCATCCGCTGTTGAGAAGCTTATAAATACGATTTTGCATCCGTTGCCATCCGCCACAGTATTTCAGACTTAAGGAGTCAGTAATACGATTCATAATGAGCACTATCATTACATCTCCAACCATTTTATATTTTACAACTAACCACAAAATTATCACTCTTATTTCGTAAGACATAGAGGTTACTGACAGTGCAGAAGTAGGGGATAGGTATAGATGGAAAGCTCAGCTAATGATTAATGACAGTAGTGTCGGGATGTTGCTAATCATGGCGGAGTGAGAATCTGCAGGCTGGCCGCGATACTATCTCTTTAATGGCGTGTTTATAGTTCCGGTGCTTTACAAAAAATAATGACTGTGAGTAACCTCTGACAACAGTGCGAACTGACAAGTTAGACGGCCTGTATCCATATGGACAAATGACGTAATGAAGATACTCAACCGACAGAGCATAAAAAAACAAAAGATGTACGTTAACAGAGATGCTATGCAACTCATCAAAGGCATTGTCACAACAGACGCATTCTTTAGAAATAATTATTGATTATACTATTATGAAAGTGCTAAATAAAAGGTAACAAATGAAATAATCTGAATGACTAAACTATCAAAAGATCTATTGTATTTAACAAACTCTTCTAAACAACTATTCAAAAGTATAATACGTCGAGCGAAGTAATTATCTTAACAAAATGCGCTATTGAAGTAAAAATTCCACGATACTACAATATAAATCACACAGATCTAAGTCAGTGAATGGATTCAAAGGAATGTTAAATCAGACTCCAAGGTCTATCTAGTTATGAGAAACTGTATCAGTTTATGAGGATACTACAAGAGACACCGATTCGTGACCGACGTATTAAAGATCTTGGTGTAACGAAACAATTTAATTGTAGACAGATATTAAATAGTAAGAACCTTTGAATGAAGACGGGGTAGTAGACTTTAAAAGTGATACCATTCTCTTATGGACTGAAGAGTCCGAAATCATGAGACAATTCTCATTCAAGAAAGACACTCCGAAATCATATATTTCTCATTCAAGAAAGACACACAAAGTAGACTGTGGAATAAAATCTTTATCTCCGTGTCAAAAGCAATTAGTTACTAAAGAAACAGTGCTGTGATGTGTCAAAAACAATGGAAAATGCTGTTTGTTGTTGACAAAGTACACTTTAATTGTTGTCGCATATTGTGCCTCGATGAGCGAGGGACTCTCACTACTCGCGTGAGAAGAAAAGCGACTCTTTTCTTTTCATTCACATGATTTACGACCCTATTATCACTTTTGAGTGCAAAACCAGGTTAATTATCTAAAAGCAAAAATGTGATATATGCCAGAATAAAAAAAGAACCAATTCCATAAATAAATTCGCTTATGTCAGTAACGTCTGACCCTTGTCAAACTGACAGACCATAAATGGCGCCAACAGATTATTGTTCCCGCTAATTGCGATTCGACACGCGTGTTAACCCTACCATTATACCTGACAAAGGAATCTATCATACGGCCAATGTTTTTAAGGATTAGTCACCAAAGTATCATAAACATAATATTGTATTTATTTAAATAAATCAAAATATTACAGATATTATTAAACGAGTAAATGGAAACTGATAGGAAGTATACAAGATCAAAGAATGAATGCAATTTATATTTCATTGAAGTTTAGAACATGAATGCGAAGAAAATGGGAAGCAATTTCTCTTCAAGATATACGCGGTCATTATATTCTAAAACAATATCAATTCCGTTATAAATTCAGTACTGTTTATGGATGCCATTCATGATTCACATTGTGCATTGCACTAGAAGATAAAACATTCTTCATACGGTCTAAAGTGAGTTTATCAGCAACTTAGATCAGTCTAAATATTTATTGTTAGCAAAAACGTGATACGGATCTATTTCAAACATTCTTGTAAAGGAAACCATTGAACTAGCAACAAGCTAATTCCGTCTGATTAAGTCCAACAAGAAATTCAAATCTATATCAAGCCAAGGAAATATAATATCGTTGGCTTTCTGTCGACTACCGGTACAATGTTAAACAAAATACTGTGATTTGTTTCTTTTAGTACGATTCTATATTTCAAAGAGAATAAGCCGAACTCCTTCATTCCAAACCTCATTCGAATGTGATGTTTTTGTGTCGTTTCTTTTTGTTCTATTTTGTCTATGTTGTGAATGCTGGCTGTTATGATTTTCTGTGAACTATGAAGTTTTAATTATGGCTTTTGCAATCCTAAATCAGTTCCCAGAAGAACTTCATCAAAGGACCTTTTTAAGTTATTTACTATCTGAAGAAATCGTTTTTTGCCAGCTTGAAACTCTACACGTGGTTGAGCATAATGTTTCGCAAATAGCGGAACAGGCTCTGTGGGTATCGAATTAATTTAAGAACTGAATCATTATACAATAACATTAACGTATTGTGTGTCAGTCGCAATGACAATTGGTGCATGACAGATAAACGTCAAGCGTGAGTGCGATGTTGCTGTAACCATAGAGTAGAAGAATTATTTATATTTTTAAATTAGGCCTGCGATAGGAAGTGTGGATGTTATTTAATATTAAATTCTTGCAACACAACTATTTTTATATAATATAATAATGTAATTAATACCTACTATATGTGTGTACATAAAACCCTTCGTTGCTATTTCATAAGATCTAGAAGTACAATTGTTTTGACATTAAAAAGTGCTTTCTATGTCGAATTAAAATAATGCTTATTTAAATCTCAATAGACCACGTATTACTCAAAATATACATATTAATTTTCATTAATTTAAAATCGTTCAATAAGAACTAGATTTGTTTCACAAACATATATAGCGTTGATTGATTGGCTCCCATCTACCTGTCAGTCTCTAATACTTCATTAAAAAGAGTTTAATCACTTGTTTTAATTACAACTGTTATGCAATAATCGACCTTAATAACAAAGACATAGAACCTTGACATACTAATTGACAATAGTCATATTCTTTTGTTCGAATTTTATTAATTTACTTAAAATGTTATGTCAGTGCGATTTTATTGGATGGGTATTGAAAATTGTCAAATTGATGTGTGAATTTTCATAATATTTATGACTTGTTTTGGAGATTTATTGCACTCTTTATATGTTCTGTGATTGCACTAGACGAGCATACTTCCTAAAGCCTAATGACAGTCTTAGGCAGCTGTTAAAAATATTTGTTAACTTTATTAAAAAATATCAATATTCTTTATCTTTTTTCTCTAATTTTCGCTTTAATCGAGACGTTATATCAACATTTTACAACGAATAAGAAGAACCAATAACATTGCAAAAATATAATAACTAAATAATATTTTTGCGTCAATCGTTACATATAAAGGTTAAATATAACTTGAAATACAATAAAAGATTTGGAAAGTTAAAAGAGTTAACAGTTATTTCGCACGCAACTATCGAAATATATGAATATAATTGTTCAAACATCTATTTCTTCAAAACTTGCGCACACGACGAAGTAATCGTAACTTGTACATAATTGAATGTTATATAAATAGTGTTTCTATATAACATAGGTATGTATTTTAGTCGATTATTGGCATTCTTCTGTAATTGCTTGATTTTTGCAAATAGCCGCAGACGAGAAGTTATGAAAGATTTTGTGCCAATGACATCGTATAGGCAGACGTATAAAAGCCAATAAATCTTCTTAATTGGAATTGACTATATTGTCCTCATAATTGACATACAAATATTAATTCTTTAAAGGGTGCTTGTGAAAAACTTACTTTATTAAAATTATAACATAACATCTCGTCTTTTATCCCCAAAGGGGTAGGCAGAGGTGGACATTACGGCACACCCAATGGGACTCATAACATAAATAGTGAAATGTAACACCCACTTTTCACTATTTATGTTATGAGTCCCATGTAATAGGGGGTGAGCCTATTGCCATATACCGGGAACAATTCCAGACCCCGTGCTATTACTGAGATTTATTTAAGAATCCCAGCTATATTTTGCCCCGGGAATCGGACCCAAGACCCCTTGCCCGGCAGTCGCAGTTGCGACCACTCTGTCAACGAGGAAGTCAGTATTAAAATTGTAAATATTATGAAAATCAAGTCGTATCTTAATTATTGTGTGCAAATACACAGGTACTTCTAAATCTTAGGAGCAACCGGTACGATATTATACTAAAACTAAAAAAGACAAAATTCAAGCAATCATCTATATCTATAAGAAAATGAAAACTGTAACTACATTGAATATTTTTTTTAAATAATGCTTTTGCTGTGATCTACAGTCGATATCGAAGCCAAAAATAGGTATGGTGTTTAGAATTTTTGTCTGTGTCCGGGTTAAAATCAAAAAGTACTGTATGGATTTACTTAATTTTTTGCATGAATATTACTAACAGGTAGGTTCAACATATAGACTACACGTTATCAGGCTATCATCTACGGGAGAGGAGCTGTGAATCACTATTCCACGCGGACGAAGTCGCGGGCTTAGCTAGTAACATCATAACGTCTTTTCCTGTCTCAACAATTACCATAATGACATGCAACGAATGTAGTTGCATAATAAATGTCGAGCCCTTTTGATGTCCAAACTGGTCTCACTTCATTCAATTCACGTATTTTTATTAATCTGTCCATCAGATCGTTTAATGCTTTACAAGATACGCATTTCAAAAATGTATGTGTCTTAGATTTAATAAGGCAAGGAATACTTTATCTACGGTTTGAAATAACGTCTCTTCTTATACTCAT